ATGGGAATGGGAATGGGAATGGGAATGGGAATGGGAATGGGAATGGGGCAGGCATGGTGCAGGCACAGCACGGCGAGGGCTGCTGGAACGGGAGCGGTGCGAGCACAGTGCGTGCACACAGCAGCACAGAGGCTGGGCCGAATTCCTGCAGCCCCGACGGCTGCACCCTGCGAGCAGGGAACCAAAGCGCTGCGGGAGGAAGGGGAGCAGCGAGCCGAGCAGCTCCGAGTCCCAGCGGGGCCAGCAACGCCAGCGCTGCTCCGCGCTCTGCAAACCCCGGTCGGCGCGGTGAGCCGTGCCCGCCCCGCTCCCTCCTGCCGCTCAGCTTCGCTCTTCTTACCGATGGATTTTCTTTTTTGGGGGGAGCTGTATTTGCTCCTGACATCTAGCGGCGCCTCTCTGCAGAGCGCTGAGTCACTCGGTGCCCGGTGCACGAGTCGCTGCCCCCGGGCTGCAGCAGCGCGGCTCTGCTTTCTGGGTCGCAGAGGCGGTTGGATGGATGGGGTCGGTGCACGGGAAGGAGCTCTGCTGAGCGGTTGGGGCTGCAGCAGCTCCTGGTGTGCGATTTGCAAGGCTGTGCAAGGTGGGGGGGGGGGGGGGGGCGGGGTGATGTTGCAGCCCCGCAGAAGTTCACCTCGGAGAGCAAAAGGCGAAATGCGGATGCTTTCCCCAGACGCCCGCTGCTCCCCTCCCGGCCCGTTGCATGGCAGCGCTCACCGCGTCCCTTCCTTCTCTCCGCAGTTGTGAAGGAGCCCTGAGGCCGAGCTCAGCCACGCCGATGCCATGGAGGGGGCTCTGCCCACGCTCCCCCCAGGTAAGGCTCGGGGCACGGACTGAGCTGGAGTTTGTGCTTTGTCAGAGGTCTTCTCCAATCTGAACGACTCCACGAGCAGACATGGTGGGATGGGTTGGGGTCGGATTTGACCTCGGAGGTGTCGTCCCATCTGAATTACGAGTGGGCACGGTGGGGTGGGTCGGCAGCCGGCGGGGGAAGGGGGTCACCATCCCTATGGGGGCAAAGGGAGGCTGACAGAGCTGCAGGGACGTGGGGACGCACTTGGGTGGGAGGGGGTGATCTCACAGCTCTCATCCAACCCAACTGGAACCGTTCTGCCATTCCACGAGAAGAGCTGATAACGCCGGGGCTGAAGAAGTCTCACCCCCCAGCCCCCCACGAAGCAGCCAACACGGCTGTCATCGCAGGTAGGGGCTGCCCCCCAGTGCCCCCAGTGCTCCCCATACACAGCATGGGGCTGAACTCCTCTCCTCTCTTCCCATCAGTGGTCATCACGCTGGTGTTCCTCACCCTGCTGACGGTGCTGGTGGTCATCGTCATCTACCTGTACAGAAACAAGGGCAGCTACCTCACCTACGAGCAGCCGGTGGCCGAGGAGGAGGCAGCCGTGCAGATGGAGGATGAGCCATCCAAGGAGAAAGAGGAATATTTCATATAGGGTCCATCTCATGTCGCCTGAACCTCCTGAGTCTGATCTCTGGCAGCTTTTCTTTTCTTTTTCTCTGTAATTTATTAATTAAGGCAGAGGAAGGTGAAGGCCAGGCATGCTGCTGCCTGCCTGCAGCTCCGCACCCCATCCCCTCCCTAGGGTGAATTCAATACAGCCCAGTGACAAACGCTCCAAGAATTGCTGTTGTTCTGCCTTATCTCGCCACACAATCGAGCGATTCTGCTCTGGGTTTAGCAGCAGGGTCATTAGCATGGCGGGCTCATTAGCATGGCTAATTAGGAGGCGAATCACAGAGTCACAGGATGGTGGGGTTGGAAGGGAGCTCCAGGATCACGGAGCTCCAACCCCCCTGTGCCATGCAGGGCCACCAACCTCCACGTTTCACAGCAGCCCAGGCTGCCCAGGGCCCCATCCAGCCTGGCCTCCAACACCTCCAGGGATGGACGGGGCATCGCAGCCTCTCTGGGCAGCTGTTCAGCCCCTCACCGCTCTCACAGCACACAACTTCCCTGACATCCAGCCTCCATCTGCCCTCCCTCAGCTTCATTTCCCCTCGTCCTGCTGCCATCTCCCCTTGCATAGAGCTGCCTCCCCTCCTGGCTGCAGGCTCCCTGCAGGCACTGCAGGCTGCACTCAGCTCACCCCCAGCCTTCTTTTCTCCATGCTGAACGAGCCCAGCTCCCTCAGCCTGGCTTTGCAGGGCAGTGCTGCAGCCCCTGCTCATTTCCAGCTCCTCTGGACCCTCTCCAGCAGCTCCCTCCCTTTCTGTCAGTGTCCCCTCTGTGTCCCCTTCATTTCTCACGACGCTCTGTCCTTCTCACCCCAATCTCTGTCTGTGTCCCCACATCTGTGTCCCCATCTCCCCAGTCTGCGGCTCTGTGTCCCCCTCACCCCAAACCTTCTCAGTGTCCCCTGTGACACCAATCTCCCCCCATCACCCCAAGGGTGTCCCCTCCTTTCCCCTGGCACTGTGTCCCCATCCCCCCAATCTCCGTGTCCCTTCCTTGTCCCCACATCTGTCTCCACGTGACCCCAAACTCTGTGTCCCCTGTTTCACCATATCCCCACGCTGTGGCACTGTGTCCCCATCCCCCCAATCTCCTTGTGTGTCCCCACATCTGTGTCCCCATCTCCCCAGACTCTCTCGGTGTCCCCTCTGTGTCCCTATGACCCCAAGCTCTGACAGTGTCCTCCTGTGGCACTGTGTCCCCACCCCCCAACCTCCGTGTCCCCACATCTGTGTCCCTGTGAACCCAAACTCTCAGTGTCCCCTCTGTTTCCCCATTTCCCCAGTCTGTGGCTCTGTGTCCCCATCACTCAGTTCTGGCACTGTCCCCTTTGTGCCCCCATCACCCCAAACTCTCACAAGAGCAGAGCAGAGGGGGACGATCGCCTCCCTGTCCCTGCTGCCACCCCTGTGCTGATGGAGCCCAGGATCCCATTTGCTTTCCGAGCTGCAGTCACACACTGCTGGCTCACGTTCAGCTTCTCATCCCTCGGGACCCCCAGGTCCTTCTGTGCAGGGCTGCTCTCAAGGATCTCCTTCCAGTTTCTATGGATGCCTGCCATTCCTCCGGCCCAAGTGCCAAACTCTGCCCTTGGCCGTGCTGAATCTCATCAGCTTCACCCTGCCCACCTTCCCAGCCTCTCGAGGTCCCTCTGAACGCCATCCCTTCCTTCCAGCCGCTCAGCTGGGTGCCGTCAGCAAACCTCCTTCCCATCATGCCCCAAACTGAAGCCAAAGCAGGAGGAAGTTTGCAAAACTGGCAGCAGAGGGGAAGAGCTTCAGCAGCGCCGCAGCACGGGATGGGAGGAAGCCATGCAGGTTTTGGGGCTTGGGGGGAAGCGAAGCAAACGTTCTCCGGCGTTCAAATTTTCAAAATAAGTCTTTATTCTACTTTTTTTTTTTTTTTTTTTTCTCGTTTCTTCTTTTTTAGTATAAAAAAAAAAACCAAAAATCCACGAGTTAAGTGCACCACAGTGAATACAGAGAGAGACAGAACGCGGATCTTCCTTTAACAGTCGGTCGATGGTCGAACACAACACAGAGGGACGCGATTTTACACCCAACCGAAACCTCCTGATAAAACAGATCTGAATGCTGAGCTTTGTTTTGTTTCTTTCTTTCTTTCTTTCTTTCTTCCGTAAAACAACAACAACAACAAAAAGGAAACATTGAGGATCCCTGAAATGTTTTTTATCGCCCTACTATGAGTCCATCGCACCCCCCGGCTGTTTTGCTGTGTGTGTTCCTATAGGGACCCACAGCCCAGACGCTGTGACACTGTGTGGGGATGGGGGGCAGCCCCTGTTTGACAACAGTGGGGTGGGGGTGGGGGGGCAGGAGTTGAAAAAGGGGGAAAAAATGAAAGGGGGGGGGGG